ATACTTTGCCCCCTGAAATCTAAATGATGGTTTCCCCCAATTAAAGTTGAACACAAATCCAATGGAGACATATAAATGCACAGTGTAGTACTATGTAGATATACTCCAACCTAAGCTCATTCATTTCCATGGGCTTAGACTGCAGTAACACTGTATAGAGACTGTACTACCAATAACTCACATCTGTCTGAATGTGGAACTAATTTCTACTGGGGGACTTTAGGGCTGAACCTGGCTTTATTACCAAGGTTCTTTGAGCATGATATGAGTTCTTGGACAACTACAGACTGATGGTCTCTCAGATTTTTCAAGCACTCTTGTCCAGCCTCCTAGCACTCTGAACTAGAGATTCTTCATTGCCAAGGGAGCTCTGATACCGTCAGGCACTGGGAACAGACTGCCCAGTGACAACCTTAGGAAAACACACAATTTTGGAAACTCCATTAGATATTGGTTAATGTGCTGTTACTCAATGTATGTCTGCCAGAATTTTGTTGGAAAAGCAGGACTCCTTTAGTTTTTCAAAGGTAACATGCAAGAAATGAAAAAAGGTTTACACACTTCTATTGACATTTTAATGACTGGGAATTTTGGAAGTGTTCCGAGAGCACTTGCTCTCCAGTTAGTGCAGAATATATTCTAGAAATACGGCCTCTCTGATTTCATTAGACTTTTTTATACTAACTGGTGCAAAATGTTTCAGCAATGGGTGTTGGCAGTCATGGCTATATCCAACAGGTGCTAATTGCACACATGAGCTATCTGGTTGTGTCTGTGCCCAATGGGGTTGCTCGTTTTATCAGCTAAACCCTTCATAGTCCAGTCTTGAGAGTAATGCTGATAGACCCTGCTGTTCCTTTTCAGCCAAATATCTGAGTCAGAATTGGGGAGAAGCAACACAGGAAGTGTGCCAGCCCTGCAAGCCAACTGCAAGCTTGTGCTCTCCCCAAAGCAACTTTGAAAGCTCAGTACTTTAAGTTCAAGATCTGATTCATCGGAAGGAGATACGTTATCCAGTTTTGATCATTGTCTTTTTTTAAAGTTTGTTTTTGAAAATAATGTAAATATAATGGAAGCATCCCACTGTGGAACTCAAAAATGAGGGTAAGCTCTTTCAAGAACTGCTCATGAGAGAACAGCTCTGAAATTTTTTTTTAACTGACCCAAGGTCACATCAGCAGCTGGATGTGGAGGAATGGGGAATCAAACCCAGTTCTCCCAGATTAGAGTGCTTCTAACCACAACACCAAGCAGCCTTATACGGAGTCATACCTATCAAGATCAATATTGTCTATTCTGACTGGCAGTGGCTCTCCAAGCTCTCAGGTGGAGGTCTTTCACATCACCTACTACATGAGTCTTTCAACTAGAGAGAACCTGCGATCCTTCTGCGTGCAAGCTGATGCTCTACCACTGAGCTATGGCCTCTTCCTGAGCAGTGAATAATGGCACCTGGATTCTCTTTTGAACAGAGTAAATACATGATGCCAATTCCAAACTAAATGGCAAATATTGAAGCAATGCCAGAATGCTATTTTAAATGTTCATTGCATATAAAACATCTTACTCATTAGACTCAGACATGATAAACTTTGACATTATTCCAGCCTCTGGCTGTTTTCTATAGTTAAGAAACATAAAACACAGCAAACCATAAGCTGTTCAATACAGTATTAATAACCCATTTCAGCACCTCTGCCATATTTCTCTGTACCCCAGAGATCAAACAATGTTTGCATGACTACATTTTAATAAACAAATTATAAGCAAGCCACATAAAATAACATTGCCTTCTGGAAATTTCCATGGAGACCATATGTAAGAGGGTTTCTGAACATGCACTTAACTATTTTTTCCTCTTACAGAGACAGATTTTTCTATTGCATAATATTCCCTTTGCTAATAGGTGTCCAGGTGTGTCTTTATTTTAAGGCTAGTTTTGAAATCCCTCTAGTTCGCTTCAGCTGAGGAAAGGACTATCCCTGGGACCTTTCACTGGCTTTATGAAAATCTCCTATCGAAATCTGTTCACAACGCATATTCTCTCAAGAACAGTGCAATGTTGACAGTATGGGAACTCAAATTGGTATGACACATCAGATATTTCCCTCTTTCAGAATGATGAATGCAAATGGCTGCAAACTTATAGCCAGGTAAGTTTTTGCTTAGGTTGTCAAAGGCTAGTATCGTCTAGCAGTTAAGCATCTTGAACTAGGATCTCAGAGACCTGGGTTCAAATCTCCACTTTCTCATGAAGCTTGACCTTGTGCCATTTGCTCTGTCTCTCAGACTCACAGCGTTGTTGTGAGGGTAAAATGAGAAAGGGAGAGCCCTGGACACTTCCTGGAGTTCCTTGCAGGGAGGGAGGGATAAAAAGGCACCAATAAGAGAGAGAATTTTGGAGAAAAGGAATAAACCATATAGATGCCACAATCAAAAGCTTATTCTTCTTTAAATGTAGTGTCACATACTGGGTAGAGTAGACCAGGGGAAGGCCTGAGTTCAGATTTGTACATAGCTATGAAGTTCACAGTTAACCATCATTGGTAAGACTTTGCTGCTCTCTTAACCTACATCACAGCAACAGAAAGACAACATAGAAGTGCTGAAGTTCTGATTTGTCTTTAGAGAACTGATGAAAGCTAGTGGCACCAGTATTGTACACTCATAGGAAAGGCTATTTCCTAGCCTGAAACAGGCCCAATCATTTATCAAGTTCAACAACTTTTCACAGTCCAGATTGGCGAGGATAAATCTAATACCCAGAAATGGAATTATTAACGAGCTGTTAATTCCATTTACTGAGGCCTTTAATCAGTGATTGATTTTAGAAGCCAATTTGGTTCATTATGATGGAATGGGACCTGTCACAGCTGAGTCTGATCCGGCTGCCGCGCGGTAGTTCGCTCCGGGGCAAACAGCCACGCCTCCCCCCCGCAATATCCGGCCCGTGTGACCGGGGCCTGTGTATAAAGGGAGAGCACAGAAGTAGATATAAAGAATGCTGGGGTGACCTTTGGAAGTTCGGGGGGATAGCATTAAGTGTATAAGAGAGGTATCAGCCTTTATTAGCATAAGCATCCTTGATAATGGTTATCATTCAGTTTTTATCCAGCCTTTCCTGTAAGGACTCTGGGTGGCAGAAATGTTTCTCTCCCTATTTTATCATCACAACAGCCCTGTTAGGATGAAAGGGAGTGACTGGCCCAAGATCACCCAACGAGCTTCATGGCAGAATCCTTACAAATGCTCACCTCAGTGCTAGTTAGCAAGTGGAGAATGGATAGAGACATGGCCTCAGTCAGCATATAATCAACACAGTCTGTGCTGGAGAACATCTGTATCCTACTCACTTTGGATCCCCCTCCCCAATCTTTCCTTCCAGAGGAGTTGGGGGGGGGAAGAGCAGAGAAAATGGGAATACTCTCTTTCCCCACAAGGCCGTTAAGTGTCAGTGCTGTCGAGAACAACAGTACAAACAATGGCACACCATGTCAGAAGTTTCAGTATCCTTCCCAGAAGCAAACCCACAGTTTTTGTGGATCTAAAGGTTGCTAATAAGTTGGCCCTCAGAAGTAGGAGGTCAGCTACCCAGGGAGGAATAAGAAGCTCGCTCAAAAATTCCAATTAAAATTTTGCTCAGCTCCAGTTCTTATTGAAACTGCGAGTGACATTTTAGCACAGCACAAATGCCAAACAAAAAAGAAGGGGGCAGGAGGGAAAGCAAACAACCGTATACATTCTTCACACACACACGTTTGAGAAGAAGAATACTTTACAGCTTGTTGAGGATTCGGTTAGGGCTGAAACGGGCATGACAGAAGCCACCTGGCCCGTAGCTAACATGGGGCCCACGGGGCCCAGCCCCCTAGTGTTTCTTCTGGGCCCCCTCCCTCCTGGGCTGCCCCCAAAGTGCTCCAACTTACCACCTGCACTGTACTTCCATTTAATTAGCTGGTGGGCCCCCCAAGGCCCCCTCCCAAAGAATTCCCTAGCTGTGCCACTGGTAAAACGCTTGTCCGTATAAGTTTTTTTAAATGTACATCCCATCGTGTATAAGCACACCTAACACATTAATCAGGCCTTTCATGTGCAGAGTCAGCAGGACACCTGACTGGGCCACCCACTGTTGCTAGAGCAACAAAAAAACTAGGATGGCAGCTCCATGTTGCTCTCCATGGGCAGGAAGTGTATGACGTTTAGAGCCCGTAAAAGGTTTTCTGCACCTCTGAATGTGGACATTCTGCTGTCTTAATGTTAATTCCAACCTTACTACAACCAAATGATTAGCCTTCCTGTAGGCATTTAGAACTTGTTTCCACACCATTGATTTGCAAGTCTAGATCCATGTACCTTTGATGGGAGGGTGAGTCCTTCTTAGAAACCTAAAGAAATGGTGGCTTGAATATTTATATCACATAAACAAAACGTGACTACACAAGTGGGAAAACAGCTTAACATCTTAATTCTGCTGCCGCCTTCGGTTCGCACAACATTCATAGGACATACCTGTCGCCCTTCCATTGCTCCTCGCATTTCCTTGAATGTTGAACTAAATTCTCCGATAAAGTCGTGCTTGCCATTGGAATCCCAATCCCAAACTATGCACTGAAAGACAGAAAGAAGACTGTTATTTCTCCTTAAGAAGGAGCAGCACTTTGACTCAAACAGCTCTTCCTCTGCATGGGTCCCTTGATCTCGGCAATGATCTTTCTGCAGGACAGAAGGGGCTGCAGGAACACAGAGCAGCATGGGAAGATCACTCTTCCATGCACACACAGTTGAATTCAGGCCAAACATTTGAAGGACAACGAATCCCACATTAACAAAATAAGGATGCTACAAGACATGCCCCACCACTCATATGCATTATACTGATTCCAAGGGCGTTAAAAAGGTAAAGGTTCCCTTGCTTGAAAGCCAGTCGACTCCGACTCTAGGGTTGCGGTGCTCATCTCCGTTTCAAAGCCGAAGAGCCAGCGCTGTCCGAAGACGTTTCCGTGGTCATGTGGCCGGCATGACTAAACACC